TGACGATCTCCTCCCTCGGCAGATCAGGCACTGATCACCTCACTGACAAATCTCCCCCCCCCCCCTCGTCCGATCTATCACTGAAAAACAATACCGCCGAACGATATCGCTACGGCACACATTCTTCCGCGATGCGATTTACGCGTGGCGAACACGCGGATCCCCTTGTTCACCCTCTCGTCACGCGTTCGCGCGAGGGTGACACGCGAGGGAGAGATGCGAACTGAACGTGAACGTAACCCAAGTAGGGAGTCCCAAGGTGACTGTGAGAGAAACGCACCGGTGCGGAGGGAAGACGCGCGGGTGGTCCCGCGAACGTTCAACGTAGTGAAGATAGCGGAATAACACACTCACTTCGGACGAGGGGCGCGCGCGCGCGGCGCAAAACGCGAAACACACGCGACGGCGAACGACTGCGAACTGAAGCAGCCGGCAGCCGGCGCGGCACGACTGGCTCCGATCCTCGTCTCGCTTCGCGATCGCCGAGAGCCGAGAGCCGAGAGAACCACCCGTCTGTCTCTCCCACCTTCTCACTCGTTCCCCTTTCTCGCTCGTTCCCGCTCCGTTTCCCACATCCCACCCGCGCCGATTCCTCTCGCTCGCTCCTTTCGCTCTCGTTGTCAGGTGGCCGGCCCGTTCTCGTTCTCTCGTTGCCGCTTGCTGCTTTGCGTCTATTCGCGCGCACGTCACGCGTAATCACCGTCGACCGGTGTCACTCGACAAATCGGCCACTTTGATCCCGACGCGTCTGTCGCTTCCATACCGGAGTTCAATACTCGCGGTCTGTTATGAAAATACACACGCGCAATCGGGGATTCTGCGAGTACCTATCGACTGTTACGCAGAGTACGTAGCGTTGAAAAATTGGCGACAAGATAAAGTTATTGCGAACGAACACTTTGCGCGATACTGGCGATATTAACCGGCAATACTTGAACTGATTGAACGTTCTTTGATTGATCGATACTCGATCGAGTCTCGATCGATACTCTACACGTCTAGTTACCGCTACGTTCAAGCGCAAAATTATAATGATGAATTGATGCTTGTTTTTAATATAGATTAACTTTAATCTTGTTTAACTTACTTTTTGTCTTTTTTTAGTTCTAAGAATTAGAAACGGATACAGAGTAAGTTAAAGCGAGATTACAGTTAATTTATACTAATAGAAATGTGTGGATATTAGAGTTACTGTTCTTCGGTAACTGTAATTTATAACTTTGTTCCTTTTTTCTATTTATATAACTGTAACTTGACTTAGTTACAGTTCTTTTTTATAACTCTAATTTAATAATTACTTATACCACACACAGTTATTTTATAACTTACTTATCAATATTTGGTGCTGATTAAAATGAAGTGTTTTTCGTGTGAAATATATCCCTGATAAATTATTATATTTTGTAAATGTATATTAAGAATTAAGTTAGAATTATTTTAATATTGAAACGTGTCTTAATATTAATCCTAAATTTAATTCCAAATGTATATAGCATATACATATATCAATTTTTATTATGAATAATGTGTAACGTATAATTGTATATTTAGTAAATAAATAAAATAATTTAGTAATGTTAGGAATGTATAAGATTTTTGTAATTTATTTATAAGATTTTTGTATTTAAAATAGGACGTATTTAAAATAACTACTTTTGAAATAACTGTAACTGAAACTACGTGTTATTTATTCTAAAATCGATAACTTATTGTAATTTGTAACCAGTTACTTTTTGAAAGAAAAGAACCGTAACTCTGTAACTAATTACTTTTACAAAGAAACTTTCCCAATCCTGCCTTAATCTCGATTCAACTTACTCTTCAACTATATTGGTAGAAACAAGCATAAATGATCTTATTTGAATATATTACTATCGATTAATGAAACTGAATAATAATACGAGGTATTATTGTTAAAGATTTTCTCACTTACCATTTTTCTGACTGCAAATATCCCATTGAATACAAAGTAACAATAACATTACATCAATGTTACAATTTTCTGATTAACAATAAATCTGTTCGCTTTTTGCATTCAATATCTTCATTTTTTCTGTCTTTAATAATTTATCTCGTTTTGAATGAAAATTTTTTTTAATTAAAAAACAACGGTAACAGATCTAATATAAACATATTATAACATGTAATTACATTGTAGGAAATAATAATATTGATATAATGGTATTATTACTTTGTATTTAGCGGGATACAAATATTATACATGAGTCTACCGAAGTTTCTTTTTTAATCGAAACAGGTAATTTTAAATTCACGTGCATTCGTGTAGCTCGTAACATTCTGCGGCTAATTAACTTCTAGTTAGAATCTCATAGCAAAAAACTTTATATTATTTTATAATTTAATACAATATTAAATGTTCATGCATGAGCATTATACATATCTACATTAATGCTTATCATGAGAATTTTTAAAAGAACCAAAAAGTGATATTTAAATCGTCTATCATGAACATCTGAGATAACTATTAAAATCGTCGCGTACTTGGTTTCGAATTAATATTTCGAGGGAGTGACAGTCGAAACTGGAGCAGGTCGCAATGCCATGAAAAGATTACCGCGATGAAACGTGAACTTCGATTCTTATCCACTTTATTTTATCTCACGTGATTTTAACGATCGTAATTCTCCAAGCTTTGCGTATAATCTCCTCAATTTATTAGATCTCAATAGTTCAGCAGTAAAAATAGCTTTGCAACTGTTGTGAGATCTTTATACAATCGTTGCTTTCTATTTACACCGATTCTCAGACAATTCCCACTCGTGACGTCATAACTCAGTTAAATGCGCGTTCCTTTTGCATTCTAACAAGTGAAATTTAACTGAGTTTTTACCTACAATTTACAAGATTGAGATCGTGTGTTGTAGTGAGTCTTGTAAACTCACTTTAAAAGTGAAGTTACGAACCTGTGATAACTTTTTACCAAAGTAAGCAAATAATGAGTCATTAATCTGAGTATGAAATACTCAGCTCACTTCAGACTCAGTTTCACTTGTGTGTAAATGAAAAGCAGCTAATATTGATATTTTCCCTTAATTCTTCACTGGATTTCAAATGGATGTAATATAAACCAATCATCTTACAACGGTTGCAAAATTACTTTTTCTGTTAAATACAGCCAATTTTATTTCTGACCGAGACTCAAATAGCACGCTTAATCCATTTGAACTCAAATCACCTTCTTAAATTTGTTATGAATAGCGTAAAATCTGTTTGAAATTCAAAAAGAATTTCTTCACGATGATCAAGAAAGGACTCCATAAGTATATCTTTTAACTTTTTATAAGCTTCATTAGAATAATACCATCTAAAAGTTATTTCGATTTCATAGCGAAATAGGTTAGGAAAAGATTATCCTTTGAATTTGAAAAAGAGTTTACAATTGGTAACATAAAAGTAAAATCTTTTAGAAATATTATCTATCAGGAATACTTTTAAAACAGAAATGGAATGGAACGTACAAGAATTTATTGTATAAAGTAAGTCGGAAATAAAAATAGTATTCTTTTTGGATTTTTTGTACAATCTGGGAGAACACAAATTATTATGGTATCAAAATGACGTCAAAATAATATTATAACTCCAAAAAGACTATACTTTTAATTAATAACGACATTTTGACGTATCGTAACTTATTGGAGAATCTCATTCTTTTTATAATCATCGTTTTATTAATAAAAAATTGAATGATAAAAAAAGAACATATCATCATGTGACTTTTCAAAATATGTAATTTTAAAAAAATCACGTACTGATTTGGACAATTCTTTACGTGATTTATATATTTTAATTACATGATTTTATCGTGTAACGTTATAACATGATTTTTTTCAGTAAGGTATCTTTTTCTCCTCAAAGTGAGAGGAAAAGAGAAGGAGGAAAAGAAAAGACGCGTGAAAAAGTTTAGCTGATTGGAACGGGATCGTTAATAATCAGGATTGGATAAGTTAATGTTTTTTTTAACTAAATTAAGTTAAAGTTAATCGCTTATAAAATTAATAAAAATTAAATAAAAAGTTGAAGAAATAAAAAATTAACTTAATAAAAGTTAAGTTAAGATTGAATTAACTTAAATTTAAAAAAAAGTTAATTTTGAAAAAATTATTTTTGAGATCAGAATGTCCTAATTTTTCTTAAAATGGAATTATTTTAAATCACACTTATAAATATAAACTATTAGATAAATTTAATTTTGTATTCACGTATAAGTTACAATATTTATATATAATAAGAGTCACATCATAAGGCATTTTTGTCAAAATCTTGCGAGAGAGAAAGATATATGTTTTCATTATTTCTCTTTCTTTAACCATTATCTAATTTTCTTTAACTTCTGCTTATGCATGTTTACGACTACATCGATTAGATATTTGTTACAAAAAATATACATAAAAATTTAGAAAATGGGTGGATATACAACTCTGTTCTACAATAATTTTTGGTTCATCTAAGGTTCATTTTATATTTATGTTGCTGAAATGTAACATTTATGATGTCTAAAATTAGTGTAATTCAAATATAAGCGGGAATTGACAAAACCTATCGAGGCAATAAAAACTAACTACCGTATGGTGTACTCTTATTAAAGAAATGATCTCTCATCATAAAATCATTGAACTTTTTCTAAATTAATTCTCTAATGTTTAAGACTTTATAGAAAAAAAAAATATTAAGAGAGATAGAAAAATTTTTAATTCAAAAAAAGTTGATAAATTAAAGTTTAAAAGTAACTAAATTAAGTTAAAAATTAATGCACTTAAAATTAACTAAGTTGAGTTAAAAGTTATTAACTTTTTAATTTTTAACTTTTAATGTTTTAACTTAGTTACTACCCAACCTTGCTAATAATGACGAAGCAGTGGCGCGTCCCAATACTGAGTTCTGAGTGTTTCTCGTGTGCGCCTGCGCAGGTGCCGATCGAAGCGAAGCAGACACTCGGCCAACTTCGCGCCGCAACTCGGGGATTATCAGCGCATCGCGATTCGCACGTCGCCATCTGGCGAACGAACCGATAGTCAGTCCTGTCAAAATGGCGCTTAAGGGACAAGTCGGTCAAAGTGAGTAACGTAAAAAAAGCGTTAATTTCGCGTGGCCTAGGATTTATTTGTAAACATTATTGCGCGTCATCGTCAAGCGACTCGCGCGGCGTCTCGAACGCGTCGATCTCGCGTCAGCCGATCTCGCAATCACGTCAAGAGATCCGTCTTGATTGGGCGTATACGCTGAATGCGCTCCCCGATGATTTCATCGGATGGTTTGAGCCGGAGACGTTAGACGACGGAGAAATGTCAAACGTTGCTGCCGAGCGTGAACATCCTCGTTGCATTCTCTTGCGAGAATTCTGACTTCGCGATCGGTGCTATCGCACTATCGAGTTTAATTCTTGATGCTAAATACGGAAAAATATATCTTATCACGATCGTCGCGTATCAATCATCTCACCTAAACACAAATCATTTCTACGTGCTTCCGACGTCAAAACCTGAGCTTATTATCGGAATTGTTACTGATTTAATATCTGTACAATTGACGAATTGACGAATATGAGGTGTAAATGTAAAATACGGACATTTTTGTGAAAATCTTTACATTCTTACGTCAGTCATTGTTTGTAGACGCGCGATTATCTGATGTTATGAAAGAATTGGAAGAAACGCTCGTTTCATTATATTAAGTTTAACTTGTGTTTAATTTACTAAAAATTTGCCAAAATACCAAGTATTCATTCAGCGATGAGCACTATCTGAGGTTTTCGATCGTGTTTCTACGGCGCACCTTCCTCGATAAAACTGTTGCTTTTTCAGAGCAGTTCATGTTGATTTCAAGATGATATCAAAATGTGTGTAAATAAAACTATCTATTTAATTTGCTTTTACATTTCTATACGTTTGCAAAATCAATACAGAATTATTTTATATTATATATACGTAATTTTTAAAAGCATAGAAATATTAAATGGAATAAATATTCCATAAATATTAATACAAAATAAAGATTTTATATTCAATATTACAGAAATTTCCGTAAAGCAAAATTATTTGATGTATTAGATACAATACGGTATAATATTACTGACTTAAACTTTTTTTATCTCAAAATTTTTTATATCAAAATTATTTTAGAAATTAATTATCTGGTTTTCAATATAAATTTCTAGAAGTGATCTGGCTAAAAAATCTCTTTTTTTTTTACATCGTTTATGACGTTGAAAGTCGCAAAGTTTTATCTTCTGTATTAGAGATTAAGAAAGATCTTTTTATGTGTTTTGTACACGTATAAATAATTGATTTTTTTACTTACGAGAATATCGAAAAAAACGGGGCTTGCGACTTCGTTGATACATGCCTGTACACAGTGACGTCATCTCTCTGTAAAGATCAATATACGTGTTGGAAAACGTCAAAGGACTTTTTGTCCGTCAACGTGGTTAATTATCAATCAATCATTGCGATATCAACAGCTGTCAGTGATTCGTGTGAAGAGTTAATGATGCTTATTTTCGTTGGAGCTACAATTAATTTCCCCTGATTTTTAATTTGTTTTCCAACGATTTCTTAAATAAAATAATATTATAAGAAAAGTACAAGCTCTTTTACTTTTCAAACGTTAATCTGATATTTATATCTATATTATTTAAATTAGAACTGGCAAAGTTTAAAAAACATAATTCTAGAATCATCAAAGTCAATTTGTTTATTTCCTACTCTTATTTTTGTTTTGTGAAAAGTTATTTTGATATTATTTATATTATTAGAATTATTTATTTTATATTCAAACAATTTTCGATATTTTTGTATTCGTACATCGAATATAAAAGAAAAAAACTGAAATATTAGCGCAGCCAAAAAGTCACTATCAGTTCTAGTATTAAACAAAAGATCTTAGATAGCAATTATCGAGTCAATTATTGCAACATTAAAGTGCCTCTATATCGTAAAATGTAGTTCATAAACGCAGATGCAGAAAAATTTGCTAAAAATTTGCATTTGTGGTTTCATCTTGCGTGCGATGATTGATTGTCATTCTGCGTCAGCATTTACAATCTACGTTTTGCGATTTGCGAATTATATAGAGATATTATAAAAATATTCTTGTTTTAAATTAAAAAATCTCCAAAGGCTCAAAGAATTAAAAATTTCAAATAAATATCAATAAAGGACAATCAGCCTTGTGTAATTCAGATTTATATATTATAATATATTTAAAATTCCAAACGTTTCTCATAAGACCATCCTCAGTAGACAGCAACTTACAATCATTCAATATTATAAACTTCTTTACATCAATCTTGTCTTCGTCACAGAATTAAAAAGTTAATATAACAATATATTATTCGAAAATTCCAGTATGAGAAGAATGTATATTAATAATGATAATTATAGATGCAAACAGAATATTGTGTTAACATTTAGACTTGAATAACATGAACAAATGGAAGTTAACTGATTGAAATAATATATATATTTTTTTATTTAGTTATCGCCACTGATTTGCTACAATACAAACAAAGTTTTCTAGAAAATGAATTTGAATATTTTAAATCATTACAGTTTCGTAATATTAATTTTCCTTTTTTTTGTATTTTTATTCTTTTTCTGCTTTTGTACTAAGCTAAAAAAATAATGCTTATTGAGTTGTATCGTTGAAGCAAATAAGTGATACGTATTCATTTGGTTCATATATTCAATGAAACATGCACCGTATAATATGTATATATTCCGTGCGAGAGAAATGTAATTACTAAAATATTGATTTCTCTATTACAAAGTGTAATAGAGAACTGTACGAAATGCAATTGTACACTTTTGTATAGTTGCAGCAAAGAATATTCTTTCATAATTTGCATTTTGTTAAAAAGAGATGAGTTACTTATAAAATTTGCTTATTAAAATTTTATGTATTTGAAATCTTGCAAAATATAAAATTAATTGTTGCTTCAATTACTTAGTTCTTGTATTGTTGCCCAGGTTGAAGTTTAATTATCCTAGCCCCAGGTAGAGTTCACAATATAAATTCACAATTCTCTACGCGCGAATTTATCATTGGGATAATTAATTCTCTCATGTCGCAGAGATTATGAACGAGGTGATCAAGCAAAAGAAGAAGTCAACAGGTGGGGTAGAATGGCGAATCTTGGTAGTGGATCAGCTTGCAATGAGAATGGTGTCCGCTTGCTGCAAGATGCACGATATCAGCGCTCAGGGTATCACCCTGGTGGAGGATATCAATAAGAAGCGCGAACCTCTGCCAACGATGGAAGCCATTTACCTCATTACGCCTTGTAATTCGTCGGTGCAGAAATTGATCGATGACTTCAGTAATCCGACAAGAACAACTTACAAAGTCGCCCATGTATACTTTACAGAAGGTATTTCCTACATTTAATCCTCTCTCATATTCTCTAAGGATATCCTCTTCCAAAAATGAATCCAAACTATCCAATATATATATGTATTTTTTGTCGAAAGACTGCGCAATTTCGTAGATTGTCTGTCAAAATAGAAAAAGCAAAAAGTAGAATGAATGTAGATTAACTACTTCTCAGAAGTTTCGAAAAAAAATTCTTCCTGAATGAATTAGTATAGAATTATCTCTCGACTGTTTTATCAATTTTACAATTTGTGATATGTAGATTATTTAAATATAATTCAGTATGAATTAATATTTACTCAAATTTAAATTGATTGTAACATGGTTTTAGTTATATGCTTTAGTTATTAATTTATTAAATCATTTTTAATACTTGACTCTTAATATATTAATAACTTTTAATATATTAAATATAATATTAAATGATGATACATATAATTAGACATCTTAAATATTTTGCTCAAGTTAGTCGAAATTCGTTAAATTAAACCTATTTATATATCCTATTGATTCCCACAACAGGTCTCCATGCGAGGGTATCCGATCATCTAAATTCACAACGATACGGGTTTAATAATTCTCTCATAAAATATAAATTAATAGCTCACTGATGTTTTGAGAAGAACGATCGTACAAAATTATCGGTTCGATTTCTTTTTAATTTCTCGTGTTTTGACATACTCAGTATATCTCTTTGCAGCATGCCCTGACGAGTTGTTCAAAGAATTGTGTCACTCGCTGGTAGCTAAGCACATAAAGACACTAAAAGAGATCAACATCGCTTTCATACCATATGAAGAACAGGTAAAGCAACGAACACTATGGCAAGAAAAAATGTTTGACCGTTTCGTCCTTCATGGTGGTGGACATACATACACGTACAGAGACACATATACAAAACGCTATAAAATAATTATTCCTTCACGCGTTCTATGTTCACTTCTCGGTCTTTAATCACGTAAATTTGATATTGTCGCACGGATCTGGATGTAAATCGGGACGATATTGATACAGCGTTATCCTCTCATCCGATCTGTCCAGTCCATCCTCTGAGCCTTTCACATTATTCATAAACAAGCACATACTAATAATCAGAATGCATTCATGCTTGCAATTGATGCCAGTATGCCCGGAGGAGCTGTTCAATGAAATCTGCAAGTCTCTTGCTGCTAAAAAGATCAAAACCCTCAAAGAGATCAACATCGCATTCTTGCCGTACGAATCGCAGGTGACGATTAAGCAGACGAAAATAATAGACGCTAGTTGTAGCTCTAGAGCGCGAAATTTGTCTTCAATCTTCGAGCACTCACAAGCTTAGAGATTTCTCTGCTTTTTCCGGATCGTCAGTTTACTTTTAGATTGCAAAAGATTAGGCGATATAGACTTCTTGTTGAGGAAAGTCTTCTTCACACCACTTTTCCTTTTGACTCAAAATATCTGTATGTTGTACGTACATGCTTGTAATGTGATCACTAATCGAATTATCCGTATAGCCTGATTTTGTTTATTTTTAAAGTTACTAATTGGCATGCTTATTTATTTTGCTTCAAGTACAAAACTTTGTAATTAAATTTACTTTTCTTTATCGTATTGAGAATATCGCAAAACTGAATCTGCCGTTTTCTTAGGTCTTCTCGTTGGACTCGCGTGAAACTTTCGCTTGCTTTTACAACCCCTCTTTCTTTAATCTGAGGTCAGCCAATATGGAGCGTATTGCTGAACAAATTGCAACACTTTGCGCCACACTTGGAGAATATCCATCAGTTAGATATCGCAGGTAATTTCGATTTAAATGTGATTTAAAAATATTAACTTGTTGTTTTAATTGCAATTTTTTCTCTTGTTGATGAAGAATAATTACACAATTTTTGATATCATTAAATAAATGCTATTAATATGTATCATAGTGACTTCGACCGCAATGTTGAACTCGCTCAATTGGTGCAACAGAAACTAGATGCATACAAAGCTGATGAACCAACAATGGGAGAAGGACCTGAGAAAGCTCGTTCTCAATTATTGATTTTAGATAGAGGATTTGATTGCGTCTCACCTTTACTACATGAACTTACACTGCAAGCTATGGCATATGATTTACTAGACATTGATAATGATGTCTACAGGTAAGTAAATATATTTAACGCAACTATATTGCACAAATTTAAAATAAAACTTTAATGTCATATAATATTAAATAGGTTTGAGGCAACAGCGGGTCAAGAAAAAGAAGTATTGTTGGATGAAAATGATGATTTATGGGTTGAACTCAGGCATCAACATATTGCCGTAGTCTCTCAGTATGTATAAATATAAGTTTTAATCTTTCCTCGAAAGATTAATAATTATAAAGAATATTGTAACAATAAAACGTTATTTTTCAGGAACGTCACTAAAAATTTGAAAAAGTTTACAGAATCAAAAAGAATGCCGCAGGGCGATAAGCAAAGTATGCGAGACTTGTCGCAAATGATCAAAAAGATGCCGCAATATCAAAAAGAATTGAGCAAATATGCTACACACTTACAATTAGCCGAAGATTGCATGAAGCGTTATCAAGGAAATGTAGATAAACTTTGTAAAGTGGAGCAAGTGCGTAATATTATAATCACTACCCTATAATCCATTTAATAAGAGATATTTTTTAATTATAAGTATTTTTCGTATTCTAGGACTTAGCCATGGGTACTGATGCAGAAGGCGAACGTATCAAAGATCACATGAGGAATATCACACCGATTTTACTTGATCAGACTGTAAATCATTTGGATAAATTACGCATTATAGCTTTATATGTCATTAGCAAAAACGGCATTACCGATGAGAATCTTAATCGTTTAGTTCATCACGCCCAAGTATCTGTTGATGATAAACAGACTATTGTCAATATGGCAAATCTCGGCATTAATGTTGTTGTAGATGTAAGTTAAAAGTTGCAAATCATATCTCATATTAAAAAGTTTTATAGTAGCATTTTAAATAATTTAATTCTATTTTTTACAATGTTGTTTTACAGAGCAATCGTAAAAAGTTATATACGGTACCACGCAAGGAAAGAATCACAGAGCAAACTTACCAAATGAGCCGTTGGACGCCAATCATCAAGGACGTTATGGAGGATTCCATTGAAGATAAACTTGATTCTAAACATTTCCCGTTTCTTGCCGGCCGTGCAGCTAGTTCAGGATATCATGCACCAACCAGGTATACAATAATGATACTTTTTCTTCTAAATCAATTTGTTGTTATTAGGTTTTTAAAAATATTAATAATTTGTAAATATTAATAACTTGTAGCGCACGATATGGACACTGGCACAAAGACAAAGGTCAACAGACTATCAAAAACGTTCCTCGTTTGATTGTTTTTATAGTTGGAGGAATGTGCTTCTCTGAAATACGATGTGCGTATGAAGTTACGAACGCATTAAAAAATTGGGAAGTCATAATCGGTAAGAATTTTTTGTATCTAATTTCTATTTGAGATAAAAAATAATTTATAACCAAAGCACGATTGAAAATTTATCTATGATTATAAAATATTTATATGTATTTTTATAGGTTCATCCCATATAATTACACCAAAATCATTCCTGAATGATTTGAGTAAACTACACGTCTAAATGATTGATATTTAACAAAAAGAGATAACATTCCTGAATTCTTAATTTGCCATTAGCTTCAATTCCATCAGTAATACCATTTATGAAGCCATGAATGATCTCGAGATATAAAATTAGGTTATTTAACTAAATAACGAACACAGAGTCAATTCTCTTTAAGCGAAAGCATTTCGGGCAGAAATTAAGCAAGTATCTCGTTGTCAGTTGAATAACAATGAAAGTATTCGTGTATTAATAAGAGCACGAAGAATCTTCGATCAGACCGAGTTATCAAGTGCCTGCGCGAATACATAATCAGAAATCGTATGAAACATTTTGGCAATATTGATATAAATCGCACGAAGCTGTCTAATCGAGCCTTTCAATGGTATCGTAATCGAGTCTAGCAAAGCTCTAGAAATGTATTATCATTATTCTTTATCAGGAATAAAAAGGAATTTATGAAGCTGTATTTTCACAGAAAAGGATCGTGATATTCCTATACATTTCTTGTTATTAGTATTTTGTTTTTTTTTCCTCGTTTAAATTTATCATAACTCATTTAAATTGACATTATGTGGAAATTGTTTTTGTTCTCAAGCATACTTTTACTTCTTCTAAAAAATTCTATTATAATAGAGAGACATTAAATCTATAAATGTCATGACACATTTGACTTAATTCTCTTTAAATGTATTATCGATGTAACAATGATATAAAGTTATTTATTCGATATTATTATTTCTTAAATCTCTAATTAATGGTATTGAATGTAAAATAAAATCGCTATATATACAGACACTCGCTAGATGTATACAGCCTGACACTTATTCTTCCTTTGTTAACTTATTTATCTGTACTTTCATCGGTTTATGCACTCTTATACACTCTTCAGTTTATCAATTGCCAATTCAGATGCTATATTTAATGTAATTTATAAATATATAATATTCAACGATATATGAAAAAATGTTCAGCTCTCTCTTTGACAAATTCGATTAGTATTGCTTTTGTTGAATATAGTACAACAATTATAATGTACTAGTATTTATCGCAATCGTTGTTCTCGCAACAGTTGTGATAAAGAAACGCTTTCCAATCAGAAACTTGCGTTTGTCAATGAATAATACTGGTAATAATTATTAATGTAATGTCGATAAATGTTGCGATCTACTAACGGAGAGATTATTATAAAGTTAAACGATATTTATAAAGTATATCCTGTTATAATATATGTATGTATGTAGATTATAGATTGAGCAATGTTCTACTTATAAAGGCCTATGATGCGCTCTACTCTTGAGTCTCTTTTTAATTATTACTATGCCACATCTATGCCAATTGAACACAGAATTATAAGAGAATATGATAGAAAATAAATATGATAGAAAAAAATCTGTTTAGATGATATCTAATTTAGAAAAATCTTGATATATCGATTACAATTAATGAAGCTTCCGAAGGCGATCAATAAAGGCGATCGATATAGTTCGCCAACATTAGCAAATATTATACACAGACTTGACATACATAATTATCCATATTGAATATAGACCAATATTTAGCGAATATATGAAAAATTGACATAAACTAAGGCGCTTTAAGGGGGAACACCACTGTGATGGGTTCAAAAAATCGATTTTTTTCTTTTTTGCATTTTTGTAATGCTTGGAGTCTTAAAAATATGTCCCTAAGATATTATATTGAAATTCGTAATGGAACTGTAGTAAATATGATGGAGTAGCACACGTGGTTAGGTGCAAACTAATCGGTTGTAAAACTTTAAACACGTTTTTCTCGAAACCACGTTTTCGTAACTGGACGCTCACATATCTCGGCCAATTTTTATCTGAATGACTTGAATTTTGGAATAACAAGAATGTTTACAATAAAATTGTCTTTAGTTAAGCATACGAATTTTTCAATCGGATTACTAGTTTTTGAAAAACAATAAAAAAAAAAACGATTTTTTTCACAAAATCGCGACCTTTTTTAAAACAACATTTTGTCTAAAATTATTTTATCAAAAAATTAATACGCTTAGCTGAACTAAACTCATATATTATAAAATAAAATTTAAAAATATTTTATTTTAGAGCTCCCGTGTTTTTCCAGACGAGGTGTATCAGTGAGCACTGAGGCTAGAAATATTGATATTATTTAATGAATTTTTTGTAATAATTTCGTAAATGTATGTACTTTGAATATATAAAGACAATAATTTATACAAGCTATTAGTTTTCACAAAGAAATTCACAAAAATAATCTTTTTTTCGGCCGTCACAGTGGTGTTCTCCCTTAATCTGAGGGTCAACAAAACTACTCCATTTAAAATGAAAACGCAGCGAATTTTATTACTGAGTACTGTTATTACCAACTGTTTTCTTCTCGTTAACTTAGTTTAAATTTCTGTCGAAAACAAGACGTAAAAGATGTCAGAGTTAAAAGGAAAAGTAATTCTAACATATAACAATGATTTAGATATCTCTAGCATATTGTTGTGATTGAAAGAAAAGGAATATCAAGTTATCGCTTATGTGGGAAGAATTTTTGTAATTATATGAATCCTTTCTAGAACAAATCGATCGAAGAATTTACTGATTATTTAGGCAAACATCTGGCAAAAGGAAATTGGTGCCGCCAAGGTAAAATAACATTTGACAATACGAAATGAGATAAAAACACCAGAAACTATACAGTAAATTTCATTATTTGACAAAGGTATTTATAATAAAACAAAATGTTCTAATCTTTCATTGTAGAATTTACACGTAAAATTCAATTAATTATTACAAGGTAGTGATAGACGATATTAGAGAAGTGTTCATAACTTCTTATGTATGATTTGCTGTGGCTTGTATTTAATTATTGTATAAGGGAAGATATCTTCTGGCATATCTTACTAGCATGACCATGTATCAGCCAAAGTTTAATAAAAGCCATAAAGGCTAAGGATTCATCGCGCATGGAGCAACTGGAAAAATGGAATGATCAAATTCGCTTTGAATTGAACTGCTATAATTTATACTTTAAAATTACGGTACTTTAAATAGTTTAAATCGATTTCATCAAAGATTTTACAAGCGATAAAAAACAAATGAAAAATATCTAGGGACTAAAAAATAAAACAGAAGTTTTATTTATAGATTTTTTTATTCTTGCGGAAGTGTTCCATGTATTCTTGTTTTACAAGTATAAAAATACAGTGTTAAAACATAATCGTCAAATTTTAAGCTAATTGTACATAAAAAATTGTCAAGATTTTAGCTCCATGGAGAAAAATCGAATTTTACAAATTTCAAGGAAGTTCCAAGGAAAATCGGACTTGCTGGAGTATGCATGACAAAATGGTATCTTGATCTTTGCAACGGCAAAGGAACTGTGGAACACTGATAAACTTGTACACATTAGACGCATAACACGAGCATGTTTTCGCTATACGGAGCATTGAAAGGAACATTAAAAGAATATTAATCTTATAATTTTAATTTATATAGTTACGAATCAAGAATATTAGAGGATCCTGCCATTCCAGCGCCGAAAGGACACAACAAAATGATCATTGATCCGATCTATTCCACCTTGGAGTAGAAGAAATTGAAATTAGCTTTAAGAAGGGATACCCGATTAACGTAAAGAGTCTAAAAGATAGGAAAATATTCCTCTCGCAATAATTGAATATCTCAATGAGATCGGCGATATGCACATGGACGGATAGACATTGTGGAAAATCGATATTAGACTAAAATTACTTATGAAGCTATTTTTTATGAAATTTTTTTATATTTTTTATAAAATTTTTATGAAATGCATAAAATTGACTATAACAATATTTGTCCAATTTCAGTCTCGAGGTATTTACGAGTCGTCAGATGTTAACATTTTAGAAGTCGTGCATTGAGACTTGAAAGTATTTACTTTCGATCGGGAGATTCTGAGAGTCAAATCCTGACAGATAAGATATATCAGATTACGTTTAACGGCCTCTTTAGTCAGATATGCAATATATAAAATTATAAAATATAAAAACATATATAACATAAAAACTGCAAAAGTATTCTCTAAACAAATTGGATTAAATTCTTAAAAAAGTATCTCGCAGATTTCTGGAATACGATTTTGGAATGCATCCAGCATTCGCAAAGATACGTAAACGACACAGTAAGACTGCAGCTGTATAAGGGAAAGGGTACATTTGCGCAAGATTCTTAATTAGAACACAAAATTTATCGTCGGACAATTATATCGTGAATGAATATGACTATTTTTTTAGTCTATAACTGATAAACGAATATCATTTTTTTTTTCTTACCGCTATGGCGATCGCCAGATCGAGTGAGGTTTCGTTGTACAATCAAATTCTCATCTCGATGAATGTACAGGGAGATTATCGGTGAATGCCACTGAATTTATCCGCACGCAAGCTCTGAAACTAAAGGAGTTTTATCGTTTCAATAAACAACACAATGTCTGAATCAAGGCTTTATTGCGAATTTCATCAATAAAAGACGCACTGCAGTTAACTCCACGCTACTTTATTTGCCTTAACATCTACGCGTATTCTTCAGACATAATTCGACAATTAACTGAATGGTTTCTGAAAGGTTTGCAAGGTATCGCAGCAAGAAGAGTAATCGTGTGACAAAATGTAATTAACTAATGTAAGACAAAAACCATTTGTAGAAGTCCAATCGCTTTGCGGATCGCGCGCATGCAACAATCATAGGAGGAAGGTGAGGTTTCACAATAAAACACTATCACTACATCGTTTTTGTTTCATTTTAGTTATTAATTAATTAAATCTTAAGATTACCTTAGCATATTCGTGAAGATTACAATATATCATATCATATCTTTAGGGATATATTAATAGTATACACAGTGCGTGACCTTTTTTTCTTCTGCATCTGCACTATTTTCGGCAATTCAAAGAAACTACTGTCAAGTACGAAATCATGACAGCGCTTTTTTCTGATATACCTATATCGGCTATGAGCGATTTTCTGTAGATTCCTTATACTCGCGTTTCGTTCCGCATCACTCTGTTTTACATATATGTATTATGTAACATGCAAAATTACACACTAGGGAATAAGGTTTCCTCATGCATATACAATTAATAATCTATAATAACTCTTGTATTCACATTTGCACGTTAACATTAGTTCAAATATCGAAACCTGTTATTTTTATATCTGATAAGTAATAACGTACAGATAATGTGTGTGTGTGTGTGTGTGTGTGTGTGTGTGTGTGTGTGTGTGGGGCGCGTGTACAGTGTAGATTGATGTTGTTAAATAAGTAGAGAAATTTATAATAGATACATATATGTATAAATCAAAATTGCAAATATGTATATCATAAAAAAATTCAATAAAAAAATGTATTGTGCAATATCAATTACGTAACCTCTAAAGCGTTAATAAAAAAAAGGAGAAAACTAAGGTTGTCAAAAAACTTGGTATATCTCAAATTTTTTATATTTTACTAACACAGATTATGTTACAAGATTGGAAAAATTGAAACTCACTGTAGTATTTGACGAATCAGTTTTTAATTCGATTTATTTATAAAAAATTATATTTAACATAAATACGAAAGTAATTTTACGAGCTAGCGCCATCGATACAACGAAAAAAGGAAATATAGATACATGAACGCAATTAACGCTCAATTAACAATTGCTCTCTCTCTCTCTCTCTCTCTCTCTCTCTCTTCCACTCACACTCACTCACTCACTCACACATACACACACACACACTCTCTCTCTCTCTCACTCTCTCTCTCTCTCTCTCTCTCTCTCTCTCTTCCTCCTTATTTAACAACATCAAGCAACTCTTTTATTTCAGCCATTTATATTTAATTTCGTTATTATTTATGTACAACCAGTTTAAATGTTCGCTATCGTTAATCGTAGTAAGTTTGCTAAAATTTGTGTTCTATTGGAGATGATGTGCGTTCGTGGGAACTTATATAAAAAATTACTTTTTGATACAGAGCTGAGTGATTTTGGTGTTACTTAGAAATATGGGTGGTGTATGTTTATATCCTAACTTATGCTGAGATCCTAATTGATTATATAATCTATATGTCGGCTTTCTTATAAATCTTATCACATACATAGACGTTTGTATTATTAGTACTTAATATTTTATACATAGATATTCTGTATTCCGAATGCTGCCAATTTCACCTTGTATGTACAATTACAAGCTACATATTATACAATCTTAATATCTATTACATGCACTCCTCTTCTCTTTCACACTTTCATTCTCCCTCCTAATTATCTCTTTCTTTCTATCATGCATTTATATCTTTTTTTTGTTTCTGTTTTGGTTATCACATATTGTCACGCAACAATATGCTCACTTGTATGCTGACCGCACACGTATGAGAAATATGTAATAACAAAAAAGAAACAAAAATAACATTCACTTTTTATAGGACATTATATCGAAATAATAGTAAACTGGTAATACAAACTATCAGCAGAAACATTTTGCAACTTTATCGTTAAATTTAATGCATTCGTATTGTTAGCATTTATTCAATGAGAAAATTATGAGTATAATTTTTGAAGATTTTTCAATAGCTTCTGCCAATAATTTATATTATTATTTTACTATCCTAAACATCATCGTGAGGATTATAATGTCCAAATTAAATCGTTAATAATTCGATTTGAATGGAAAATCTTTTTACATATATATATATATATATAGACAACCGAAGTTTATGAAATGAAACAAAACGTAAATCTATTCGAACCTAAATCATTTCTTTGTAAAAATTTCTTTTTTAGTTTTTTTGCAAACTAAGCATGATATTAGATACTTTGCATATCATATGAAAAAAAACACATATTTATCAATTTTTATACATCGCTAAATTGTTAATCTCGCACCGAACTACCTTATTAAGTGTACACATCAACAATAACATACTGATGACTAAATCATTATACATACTAAACCGCGAATATTACTATCGCAGCGTGTAGATAGTATATTTTAAGAATTAGATCATAGATCCTTCTTAATTTTGATTAGATAAAAACTGCAAACAGGCGTTTGTATTACGCCTGAAGACACATCAAAACAAAAAAATTACAGAAATATCCTAATATTGCTAGATGTTGATGATCAACGATCAACGAGAGCAAAATCGTTATTGATATGAAATAAACAACACCCAAGAATAAATAGCATGTATCTGCCCAAAGATCGTTTTTATTTTTCTGACGAGCTCCCCTTTATCTCCAATATAATGAAAATAAGATTGTAAAGGGCATGAACATTCGAAATTGGCATCAATATAATTTCCATCAATAGTATAGTATTCTTTTCAATTCTTCATCATGTTATTTCAATCTTTCACTTGATCTGTAATAGAGAGCTCGAGGAATGACGTTTATCAAAGAAAAAATTCTGAATTTATCAAAAGATCTTTTCCTACCTCACTTTATACTTCTCCGTTCAATTAAATCCCGGCCATTAAATCATCATATTTTTTTAATAGTATAAAAATCATGATTTTGCTTAAAACCTTGAAGTTTTTAATTAATTGTGCCAACATAACGATTGCTCGATAAGTATCGCCATATATACAACAAAGACTATACAAGTTTATGGTTCCTAAAAAAATAAAATTGTAGTTACACAAATAATTTATATATAATAATAGTACTATTTTTATTTTATACTTGGTATATTATTAATGCCGTTACGGTCGTAACGTGTAATCTAAATACTTTTAAGAAATTAATTAATAATAATAATAATAACCATATACAATGAAATTTGTTTTACTTTTTGTACTTTTCTGGCGAATTAAATTTTAAAATTTTTTTTTCGAATTTACTCGATTTGCATACCTTGTTTGGGCGGTTCCATTGACTAGACCATACCCAAAATGTTCAGCAAAAATATTTCGTCTACTCGTTCATGATATGTATGATCGAGTAGGTTTTAAAACAGAATTACACGAAAAAATTTACTTGAAATTTCCCAAAAAAATTTTTATATTTTAATAACTTTTCTATATCGTGAAATATCATATCCTAGTAATCGAATAAATATAATTCTTTTCTAACATGTTCTTTGCTAATACGTACATCACGATTTTCTTTCCCATGAGCCTAAAGTATACCGATTAGGTACATAGTCTGATCTAATAGTTGGTAGGATCAAAACTACTTCAATTCTAGAATCATCTTATCGTTACTCGTAATAATTGACGACATTGTTCTAAAGTGAGTTAATGAATAACTTTAAATCGACCAGCTGGCTCATAATAATTCTTGAATCAATCGCAATCAATAGTATACGCTGTTAATATTCTGATCGATCAGTTGATCAATTGAAGTCACAAGTGGACAGCCGTGATGATCATTATTAAATTCACCAAGTTCTTAGAGATGTTCGTATTATTTTACATGTGTCTATCATTCACATATACGCCTAGCTATATATATTTCTGTGTTTACAGAGCGTATATGAATAATCAAGAAAAAAATTTGCAAGGGCATTATTAATGATAGTTAATAATTACATGTATTATTGGCAGAAACGCGTGTATACGTAATCCTACCAACGATTAATGACTCAATGTGGAAAAATACAAAACTTAACTAAATGTACATGATTTTTTTACTTTTCTTCAAGCCGACATTCTACGCACGCATTCGGTTATCACATGCAAACGTCTCTTATTTTCATATGTTGTTTTCAAATTTACATAAAGTACAAACTTATGAAAACCGGAAAAATGTAACACAATATCAGTGTAGCATTTTCGAAGTATCATATAAGTATTTATCTAATTACATAGTCGCACTTAAGTGTCTGTCGTTCTAGAGACAATACAGTTTGTCCCAGTTTTAATAAACTGTTTGAATCTTCTGACGACCAAATGGGTTCTCTGTTGAAATGTTCCAACCGTACCACTCAACTATACCATTTTATGCTATAACTAGCATATGGTCTATGTCGCCATCGTTATTATTTATCTGATTTCATTGTCTGCATTGTTTTTGTTTATATTGATTGACGTTACATTTAAAGATTTCTATAATCGCTCAATGCTAAACATACGTCCGAGTTCTGCAAAATTTTTGTGGGTTTATTATAAACAGGATATAGTAACATTATAAAGATTCCTCAAACGCAGCCATCAAATCGCTCTGCATGTTCATGTCAATTTGGCTAGCCATCTGAAAAGATAAATATAACCATTCTTCGCAAATCCCTTTATTATGGGCGTCAAAGGTAATATTTTCATGTATCCCTATATAAATCTACTTAAACAATCAAATTTACTTTAAATTATATAGCAAGTTATAAATTAATCAAATTGTAATAATTAATAAAATTAATGTCATATAAGATAAATTTTATTTTTATTATATCTCGTTTAATAATTATATTCTGTTTGTTTCTATAATAATATTGTCAGCTTTGTCTAGCATGTATGTATTATAATAATTAAAATTCAAAATAGTGTATTATTAACTGATTATTCTTATAAAGATATTTATCAAATTATATTCAGATCATACAAGAAACAATTCCTTTTACATGCGATTATATAAAATTAGATTTTCATACGTGATAAAGTCACACAAATTCCTAATATTGTTCATTTTGATTTAATGATACTTCTATATTAAACTTTTTTCTATTATTTTTTTTCTTGAAAAGTTACAACAGATAGAAATTTCATCAACCCAAAAATATTAAGTACTTACCGCTTCTCGTCGTCGGCGCTCTTGCTCCCGTTGCCTTAGACGTTCTCTTTCTGCAGCGGACTTGTCCTGACTGGACGAATGACTCGGACTACTGCTATCTGTGTCAGTAATGGCTTTTACTTCTTCTGTTCTTGTCGTGGCAGTCATAACATTGCCTTGCTGATCTCCAATATTTTTCCTAACTTTATCCAGAGCATCCTCTTCCTCTCGTTCCCGTCTTCTTTCATTCTCCTGTCGCAATAATCTCTCTCGTTCCGCTTGTTCCTTTTGTTGTCTGCGCATTTCTTGTTGCTCTAATAAGGCTCTTTGCTGTTTTACAAATATTAATATGAAAATATTATTATATTAGCCATAGAAATATTATGTGAAGTACAAAGTTATTTTGTAAAATTATTGGAACTAACCCTATCCTGCTTTTCTTTAGCTTGCTTCTTAAATGCCTGGAATGAGTCTCGTGCTGCGCTCTTCATACTACTACCTGCAGCTGCTGATTGAGGACTCGAAGCTTGCGCCAAGGAAGACCAAGATGATGCATTCTTTACATTCTGTTCTACAGTCTATATAACAAAACAAACAAAAAAAACAAAAC